TAATGCCCAAATTTTTGAAACATCCTTTGGAAGATATCAAGTGTCTCTTGGGCATTTGACTTCTCCACTAATCCAATTGAATATCAACACTTTAAACCTTATTAATACCGCGCACTTCCTCATCATATGGTCAATTAGCAAATCATGAGGAACTTAAAAGATTTACGCTCCACTCGTATTATAATTAAATTTAATTGAGTGTTAATAAATTACTTCTTCAGTCCCACTTTCACTTTAGCTCTTTTCATACATATTAAGAGAACATAATAAATACATGATATAGTTTATTAAGTTACCCCTATTAAATATGTTTTGAGTAATAGTTAAAAAAATATTGTTTATATAATACTAAGGGAATATAGTGGGAAGCAATTAACAAATTTAGTCTTAAATTCCTAAAGTGACAATTATTTTGCAATAATGTTCTTGAGCTAAATTGACAATTAAAATGAGACGGAAGGTGTATTATTATTTTTTTCATGTTACCAATCATCATTGTAATAGTTATACATAATTAATTTTAAGTAATCTCATAATTATATATATCAAATTCCTTGTATGAAATAACGGAAATAACTTCTCAGGGCATTCATGCAATTGTTAAGATACTCCCCTCAAACCTTCCCTGGTTAATTTCTGCAGTTTATGCTAGCAATTACATTGAGGACAGGAAAACTCCATGGGATAACTTAATTGATATCTCAAAAAACTTCAAGGGGAGTTGGTATGTGGGTGGGGACCTCAATGAAGTCTTGAAAGCTAGAGACAACTTCGGGGAAATCCCATCAACACCCAAATGAGTAATTTATTTTGGAACTGCATTAATAGATGTCAGCTTGTAGATCTAGGATTTAAAGGAAGCAAATACACTTGGTCTAATAAGTGTTATAAGAATAGGTCCTGCCTCATCCTTGAAAGGATTGATAGGTGCTTTGCTAATAACCTCTGAGTAAATAAATACCCGGAGGCAAACATTACGTATCTCCCTAGGACCCACTCTTACCACAGCCTCATGCTAGTAAACCTAAACAATAGCAATCTCATTCTCTCCAATAAGCACTTTAGGTTTGAATCAATGTAGTGCAACCACCCACTGTTCCAAAACCTAATTAGGGACTCATTCCCACAATAATCTTCCCTAATTTCCTTCACCATAGTGTTCAAGGAAAATGCTCTAAAATGGAACAGAAATATTTTTGGAAATATCTTTCATAAAAAGAAGGAGCTGCTTGCCAAGATAGCAGGGATTCAAAAATCCCTACACTATCCTTCTAGCCTCTTTCTCCACACCCTTGAAAACACTCTTATTGAGGAGCTTGACTCAATCCTAAGGAATGAAGAGGACTTCTGAAAACTGAAAGCTAGAATAAGCTGGCTCTCAGATGGTGATACCAACATCAAATTCTTCCATACTTCTACCCTTAAGAAGGAGGAGGAATAGAATCATATCCCTCAAGGATGATTCAGGGCAATTGCAGTATGAGCCCAAGGAAATCAAAGATTCAATTTCTAAATTTTTTCAAGAGCTCTACTCCACATCCCATTTCCAGTCACAGAGGTGCATATCTACTTTTGGCATCTAGGGTCAATGTTTCTCTGACACCCAATAAAGCATCATTGAGATGCTCTTAAGGGACAGTGAAATAAAATGTGTCATGTTCTCTTTCAACCCCTTCAAAGCCCCAGGCTCTGATGACCTTCACCCTTTTTTCTATCAAAAATACTTAGACATAGTGGGGAAGGATGTCATCCAATTCTGCAAAAAATGTTTCTCCACTTCAACAATGCACCCTTTCATAAATGAAACACTCCTTTGCCTAATCCTCAAATGCCCCAAAGCATCCATGATTAAGAACTACATGCCCATAGGTTTATGCAATACAGTGTACAAAATAGTAACCAGAATTCTTGTTAATAGAATCAAGCCTTATCTGTCCCACATTATTGGCCTTAGCCAGGCCAGCTGCCATCATATTTTAAGAATACATCACACATTTTGAAAAGATGAAAGGCAAATCTTCAAACATGATTCTCAAGATTGATTTGGAAAAAGGCTTTTGACAGATTGGAATGATCTTTCATTAAAGAGACCCTCCATGGCTTCAATTTTCCAAATGCAATCACCAACCTCATTATGTCATGTGTCAGCTCTTTCATTATCTCTGTCCTTGTTAATGGTGAGCAAACAATCCCATTCATGCCCACCAGAGGCATCAGGCAGGGGGACCCTCTATCTCCATACCTCTTCATCTTGTGTATGGAAAGACTCTTCAGGAACATTGACAGGAATGTCCATCAAGGAGAGTGGTCCTCCATTAGCATTAGTAGAAATGGTCCTAAGATAGCTCATCTGTTCTTTGCTGATGATCTAACTCTGTTTGCCACAGCTAATCAGGCCAACTACAACACAATCCTTAGAACTCTCAACACTTTCAACTTGGCATCAGGGCAAAAGATTAATTTTAACAAGTCCAAAGTTAGCTTCAGTGCCAATTGCCAACCACACCAAATGGAATCCATCTCCAACACTCTTTCCATATAAGCATCAACTAGCTTGGAAAAATACCTTGGCTTCCCAATTTTCTACAAAAGGCCCACTCACATTGACTTCCAATTCATCATAGACAATCTCTATACAAAAATAGCAGGGTGAAAAACAAACATGCTCAATATGACTGGCAGGACTACCTTAGCAAAAGCCTCACTCAACACTATCCCCAATCATATAATGCAATACATCAAACTCCCTGCTAAAACAATCAAAGAGATTGATAAAATCCAAAAGGAATTTCATTTGGGGTACCACAACAGTTAACAGAAATATGCACCTTGTCTCCTGGGACACAGTCACAAAGACTAAGGCGGGCTAGGAAGTCAAAAGGCTGAATTGAAAAATAGAGCCATCCACTTAGAGCTGACATGTAGGCTATACTAGAATCCATAATCTCTCTGGGCAAAACCCTCATTGCAAAACACTGCAATTGGAGGAACCCCCCCCCCCCC